CTTTTCAGCAGCACTCCACTCTTGATACCAATTTACTGTATTATTCCATTTACATGCTGCTGATAAAGACATAACTGAGACTGCGCAATTTACAAAGGAAAGAGGCTTGATGGAGAACCCAGAGTTCTACATGGCTAGGGAAGCCTCACAATCATGGTGGAAGGTCAAAGGTACATCTGGTGGCATGACAGGAGGAGACAGCTTGTGCAGGAAAATCTGCCCTTATAACCATCAGATTTTGTGAGACTTACTATCATAAGAACAGCATGGTAAAGACCTGCCCCCATGATTCAGTTACCTCCCACTGGGTCCCTCCTACAACACATGGGAATTCAAAATGAGATTTGGGTGGGGACAAAGCCAAACCATATCAGCTACAGTAACAAAACAGCATGGTACTGGTACAAAAGCAGACACATAGACCAATGGAACAGAATAGAAAGCTGAGAAATAAAGCTGCACATCTAAAACCATCTGATCCTTGACAAAGTTGGGGAAAACAAGCAATGAAAAAAGAACTCCCTATTCAGTATATGGTGCTGGGATAACTGGCCAGCCATAAACAGAAGATTGAAACTGAATCCCTTTCTTACATCATATACAAAAATCAACTCAAGATGGATTAAAGACTTAAATGTAAAGCCTAAAACTATAACAATCCTGGATGATAACCAATGAAATACCATTTTGGACATAGGCCCTGGCAAAGATGTCATGATAAAGATGCCAAAAGTAACTGCAACAAAACGTAAAACTGACAAAAGGGAACCTAATTAAACTAAATTATCAATAGACAACTGACAGAATGGGAGAATATTTGTAAACCATGCATCCAGCAAAGGTCTAATATCCAGAGTTTATTAGATGAACTTATAACAATTAACAAGCAAAACCATATCATTCTGCCTTGGCCCCTCCCAAATCTCATATCCCATGAAAACGTGGGCAAAGGGGCCAGGCATGGTGGCTCACGCCTGTAATCCCAGCACTTTGGGAGGCTGAGGTGGGCAGATCACCTGAGGTCAGGGGTTTCAGGCAGCCTGGCCAATATCACAAAACCCTGTCTCTACTAAAAATACAATAATTAGACAGGTGTGGTTGTGAGTGCCTGTAATCCCAGCTACTTGAGAGGCTGAGGCAGGAAAATCACCTGAACATGGGAGGTGGAGTTTGCAGTGAGCTGAGATTGTGCCACTGCACTCCGGCCTGGGCGATAGAGTGAGACTCCATCTCAAAAAAAAAAAAAAAAAAAAAAAAAAAAAAAAAAAAGAAAAAAAAAAAAACCACACAAAAAAAAAAAAAAAAAAAAAAAAAAAAAGAAAGCGGGCAAAGGACATGAACAGACACCTTTCAAAAGAAGATATTCATGCAGCCAACAAGCATATGAAAAAATGCTCAATATCACTAATCATTAGAGAAATGTAAATCAAAACCACAATGAGAGAATGGCTATTAATAAAACACCAGTCAGAATGGCTATTATTAAAAAGTCAAAAAAATAACAGATGCTGGCAAGGTTGTGGAGAAAAAGGAATGCTTATACACTGCTGGTGGAAATGTAAATTAGTTCAACCATTTTGGAAAACTATCATTGGACCCAGTAATCCCATTACTGGGTGTATACTCCAAGAAATATAAATCATTCTACCATAAAAGACACATGCACATTTATCACATTATTCACAATAGCAAAGACCTGGAATCAACCTAAATCCCGTCAATGGTAGAATGGATAAAGAAAATGGGGTACATATAGACAATGGAATACTATGCAGCCATAAAAAGCAATGGGATCATGTCCTTTGCAGCAACATGGATGGAGCTGGAGCCCATAATCCTAAGCAAACTAATGCAGGAACAGAAACTCAAACACTCATAAGCATTCTCACTTATAAATGGGAGTTAAACATTGAGTACACATAGACACAACGAAGAAAACAGAAAGTGGGCCTACCTGAGGGTGGAGGCGGGTAGGACGGAGAGGATCGAAAATCTACCTATTGGGTAGTATGCTTATTACCTGGGTGATGAAATAATTTATACACCAAATCCCCGTGACATACAATTTACCTATATAACAAACTGTACATGTACCCCTGAACCTAAAATAAAAGTAAAAAAAAAAAAAAATTCTTGGCCACCCATGAAGTACTATATTATTATTTGAAGGTAGAACTCTAAGATAATGATGTATACTATAAACCCTATAGCAACCACTTTTTTTTTTTTTTTTTTTTTTTTTTTTTTTTTTTTTTTTTTTTTTTTTTACAGCGTCTTACTCTGTTCCCCAGCCTGGAGTGCCATGGAATGATCTTGGCTAACTGCAGCCTTTACCTCCCAGACTCAAGTGATCCTCCTGCTTCAGCTCCCCCAGTAGCTGGAGCCACAGGCATGTGCCACTACACGTAGCTAATTTTTGTAAAGACAGAGTTTCACCATGTTGCCCAGGCTGGTCTTGAACTCCCGGGCTCAAGTGACCTTCAAAAGTGGTGGGATTACAGGCATGAGCCACTGTACCTCACCAGCAACCACTTTTTAAAAAGCAAATCAGGAAATTAAAAAAATAATAAAACACACTGTATGATCCAAAAGAAGGAAGGAAAAGATAAAAAAGGGGAGAACAAATAGTAGGTGGGATAAATAGAAAATAGAAAGATGGCTGATTTAAATCCAACCATATTAATGGTCACATTAAATGTAAGTGGTCTACTGAAAAGGCAGAGATTGTCACACTGGATAAAAGGCAAGCTTCAATTATATATTGTTTAATATAAGAAATCAACTTTAAACATAAAGACATAAATAGGTTAAAAATAAAAGTATGTGAAAAGATATACTATGATAACAATAGTGAGAAGCAAGCTGGAACAACTCTAGTAGTTATGAGATAAATTATATTTTAGAGTAAGGAACATTTTCGGGATTAAAGAGAAGGTTAAATTCATAATGATAAAAAAGCCAATTCATAAAAAGTATCTAGCAATTCTAAATGCATATACACCTACTTATAGAGCTTCAAAATACATGAAACCTAATAGACCTGAAAGGATAAACAGAAAAATCCACAATCATGGTTGCAGATTTTGACATCCCCCTCTCAAATACAGATAGAACAAGTAGACTGAAATTCACCAAGATGGAAAAAACTTGAACAGCACTATCAATCATCTTGCTTAACTAACATTTATAGAACATTTCACTCAGCAGCAGTAAAATATAAATTATTTTCAAGAACACACAGAACATTTACTTAGATTTGCATAGATTCTGGGCCATATAATACATCTCAATAAATTCAAAAAACCTGAAGTCACACACAGTATATTAGAATTAAATTAGAAATCAGTACCAGAAAGACATCTGAAAAATCCCTAAATCTTTGGAAACTGAACAACGTATCTCTATGTAGGGTCCTGCCATGTTGCCCAGGCTGGTCTTAAATTCCTGGGCTCAAGTAATCCTCCCGCCTTGGCCTCCCAACGTGTTGGGATTACAGGCGTGAGCCACTGCGCCCAGGCAACATGTCGCTAAATAATCTATGGGCTAAAGAAGAAATCACAAGAGAAATTAGAAAATATTTTGAATTTAATTAAAATGAAAATAGCAGAGCCAAATTTGTGAGATACAGCTGAAGTAGTGTTTAAAGGGAAATTTATAACATTATGTTCATATTAGTAAATAATCTTCCTTCCAGCACTGTAACATTACACTTCTCAAGGTGTAGTTCCTGGACCAGAAGCGTAAGCCTAAGTATCACTTGGACCCCACCCCATATCTACTCCATCAAACTCTGTGGGTGGATCCAAACAATCATTTTAACAAGCCTTGCTGAGGACTCTGATGCACACTAAAGTTTGTGAACCACAATGGTCTAAGTGTGGTTAGGTGTCTTGCTCTACACCTTTCTTTACAATGCAACTAGGGAAATCTTCTAGAAAGGAAAATCTGATTATATCATATCTTCCCCATCCACTTCCAATTTAAATCTCTGCTCTAAGTGCAGTGAGGTGCCACTGAAAGCAGACAAACTTCCTAGCACGGCTCATAAGAACTTGTACAGTCTGTTCCTTTACTTCCCAATCCTCCCTACATCTGACATCATCTCTCTTTCTCTCTTGACTAGACACACTGGCCATAACTTACACCTCTAACCTGCCAAGAATCACATACCTCAGCATTTTTTTCACATCCAAATCTTTCTTCCTACCCTACTGGCTCTCTACCATTTGGCCTAGTTAATTCCTACTCACCCTTCACAGCTTAGCTTAATGGCCCTTTGATCTCTTCCTTCACTTGATAAAATTTCCCAAAATAAATTCCCATAGCACCACATACTGAGAATGTAGCAGATTTGTGTATTTACTCAATGTCTGCCTTTCCAAATAAACTTGAACTATGAGGGTAGGAACCATAATCTGGTTTTGCCCCCCACTATTTTGCATGTGTCTAGCATACTGCCTAGTGTGCAGAAGACCAACACTTTTGAATAAATAAAAAAGAATGTATAGGAAGAGGTTTTTAAAATCTAGCTTTCTATGTCTGCATAACACAGAAACAAAGTAAGAAATAAATGCATTTTCCAGGCTGCCTGGAACGAGGAGAAGGAAAAAGAAGACAAGGTCCAGTTTAAATAAAACAAACACAACCAAGAAAAAAAAAAGTGAGCAAGACAAAATCGTTCAGACACCTATTCTTGCCTTTTTTGTTTGTAATTAAACTATAGGTGAATTCACTAGACTTAAAGTTATGGTAATCACAGAATGCTCAGCTCTGTGACAAGAAAACTGTTACTGCCCAGAAAAAAATGAGAAGAAAAAATGGTAGTCAGGAGAGCTGACCTAAGAATTTGGAATTCTTAAGAAATAGAGAAGGAAGGAAAAAGGAGAAAGAGAACATTTAGACCTCGAGGCAGGAATTTATTATGGTGTGAAGCACTGAAACCAATCTCTAGCAGGTGGTAGCAGCTGGTTAAAGAAGAAAAGGGTGACCCTTGAACTTACCTCAGATAGAGAAAGCAGGTCTGGAGGCTGCAGGGAGAGAATAAAGATTTACAAAACAGAATACAACTGGTGCTCATGGCTCCCCCAGCACCACTCTGCTGAATAAAGACAGATATTGACCCATAAAGATCAAACAAAACAAAACAGCTAACATGTCAAATACATTGTATTGTATTGAGGGAGGGAGTGGGCAAAGGGGAAGAAGTGGATGGGGTGTTGGGGATGAATGAGGTAGCATGACTTTAATATATTTTTTAAAAGCCAACAACTTATTATTCCTTTTTTTCCCAAGCCACACCATATCAAAATTGTAATGATATCAACAGGGTCAGCAAACTTTTTCTGCAAAAGGACAGGTAGTAAATATTTTAGACTTTGTAGGCTTTATGGTGTCTGTTGCAACTATTCAGTTCAGCCTCTGCAGCACAAAAACAGCAATAGACAATATATGAGTGAATGATCATCGCAGTGTTCTAATAAAACTTTATTTACAAAACAGGCCATAGGCCAGACTTCCCAATTTAGAGAACTAAATCTATGTCTGAAAATAGTTCTGTTCTCTACAACCACTAGTATGTTGAATCTGCCAAATTATGTTTCTTACTAATTATGTTGCCAAAGTAAAAACTTGAAATATCTTCTAGATAAATTATTTGAGTTACTTTGTGACTTAAACATCTAACACAATGCCTGGTAAATAAAAAGTATCCAATGTTTGTTAAATAAACAATGGTGTTCTGTGAAAGATATGGGGCAATTAGTAAACAGAATATCCTGAAAATTTAGTAATAGTTGAGAAAGCAATGGAATGTAAAATATTCAAGAAAAATTCTATGAAAAAACATCAAGACAAAGACTGTTTAGCTGTTTTACATTTTAACAAAGTATTATGGCAAAAGTTAGACTCTTTAAAACCTAAACTCTTCTCTTACCCAATTCCTAAGAAAACTACAGGGGAAAAATTCAAATGTAAACAGAATATATCTATTAAAAATTCCTCAGGGGGTTGGGTGTAAAAAAATCTTATTTCATTAGAATACTTCAACGGAGTCAAGTCTTAATCGTTTTACTTAAAGTAATAGAGTTATTTTTATCTTGTGTTCAGTGTTCAACATATGTGTTAAAATGTCATAAGCAAGATCAGAGGAGTATGTATGGTTAGTCTTGGTTTCCGGTAGTTGAACTTTCACACAGGTTTATAACTGATGGCTGATTTTTAACTATGTAAAACCAGAATTCTGAATGGGAAAAATATAAATTCAGTTATTTTTGAGGACAGAGGGTAAAATAGAAGAAGCTGACAAACTTTTTTTTTTTTTTTTCAGTCATCTCAGAATTTGATTCAAAGTGTCAACTGAATTCCAAATTTTTATGGGAAAATTTAATGTTTTAGGATGAGTACTATTATTATGATAGCTTCAAGTCTATATTAGGTTATTTTAGACTTAAAATTTTACTCAGAGGTGTCCAGAGTCAGCTTATTTATATTGAGATGTTTATCAATTAGGAAAAGGCATATACTTGCTTTGGGAACTCAAAAGACACTGATATTAAAAAGGTCTATATTATTTTCAACAATCACACTCCGTTTTGGGCCATTATCATCTCAAAAATCATCTCCTGCAACTGACCCTTCACACATCACATTTCCTGCCCTGCACCCCCTGAATCTACATTGTGTGCTATTATTAGAAAAGATTCTCCAGAACTCTACTTTGATCATATAGCTTTTCATTATCCACAGAAGAGATACATTCTTGGCTGGATCTCTTTGTCCTGTTATCCCCACTTGGTGAAACTATTATTAAATGTAAGGGCTCACCTTTCTTCAGGCTTACATTCTGGCAGCTGAGGTAAAACCAGTTGTTCAATCCTGTATTTTTTGAGACAGCTATTTCAAACCTTGTCCATACTCCGCAGTTACCCAACCCTACATATTACTCTTGATTACCTCAATTCATAGAAAATGGACTCTAATATCTCAGCATTCTGCCCACAAATTACCGATTTGCCTTCCCACATACTGTTCCCACTACCCTCTTTTTTTTTTTTAAGAGAAAAGTGACCCTTTAGCTAAGACCAATCTCTCTAGCCATGTCCTAGATCTTATACCCAATAATCTACACAGGAGCTTCACTCTATTTCCATTGGTTGCCATCTCATTTCTGTATCTTCAATCTTTTATTCACTATTAGCTTTTTCCCATTAGCATATAAATATATCTCTTTTATACCTATCTTCAACCCCAGCTTAATCTAGCTAACCTTTTTATATTCTCTCCATTCATGACCAACTATAGTTTTCTGTGCGAATTTTCTTTCTCCTCCTGCATTTAATTCATCTAGACTTGAATATGACTTGTGCCTCTATTAGTCCACCAAAGCTACTCTTTCTCAAACACTAAGATAAACCCTCGTTGCTATATTCAATGCAACAGTTTCAGGCTTGTCTTAGTTGATTTCCTATAGACAATTTACATTGCCTTCTCCCTTCTTAAAACACATTTCCATTCCCACACTCTCCAGGCTTTCCTCTTACTTCTCAACTACTCTCATTAGTTTCCTTTTGTATATATCTTTCCTTTTCCCTAAATCTTTGGGGCTGGCTCTGACTTCCTAGGCTCTTTCAATCTTACAATGAGTAATCTCTTCCACTCATGATTTCAGTTATTTGTTGATTCACAAATCCTTAGCTCAGGCCTTTTTCTTGGGAAACAGATCTCTATGTTTAGGAAGCATATTGATAACTGCTTCTTAAACATCTTTTCTTGGATATCCCACTAAACACCTCAGATTTCTCATATCTGAAAGTGAACTCCCAGTTTCTATCTCAGATCTTACTATCATCTACCCAGAAGTTCAAGGGAAAACCTGGATGTTCTCCCTTTATTCTTCTCATCTTTAAGACACTGATTTTACTTTATAGATCTAAAATCGATTCTTTTCAATTACTGCCACTATTAGAGCTTAAAACATTTTTTGTTTCATTATCTGATACTGACCTTACAATACTGGCTATGCTTCCCTCAGCAGCTTCATGGTTTACCATTTTCCTACTCCTTCTGATCCATGATTCCTATTTTATGCCTCAGATCTGAAAAATTACTCAATATTCCACATACGCTTGCTCTTTTTAAAAAATTTTTGAGACACCTAGGTTGGAGCACTGTGGTGCAATCGTGGCTCACTGAAGCCCTGACCTCCCAGGTTCAAACAAGGTGTGGGCCACCACACTGGCTAATTTTGTTTGTTTGTTTTGCAGAGATGGGGTCCCACTATGTTGCCCAGGCTGCTTGCTCTCTTTTGTCATCCAAATTTTCCATGTCGTTTGCATTGCCTGAAACAACTTCTAATACATAGGCATCCTTCAAGCCTCAGCTTAGATGCAAAAATGTAGGAAACCTTGCCTAATTCCCTAAATCTGAGTTCAAGTTCCTTTAATGTGCTCTTACAATTCATCGCTCTCTTTCTGATCACAGGAGTTATCATCCTTCTACTGAAACTGCCTATCCATTTTTCTAATCTTCATGACATGGTAATTTCCATAAGAGCAACAACCATGACTTTAACCATTCTATCCCCTTAAAGATAAAAATCCCACTTAAAAAATGAAATACATTCTATTTATTGAGTAAATGATGTAGGTCTTGTTTTCTCCCTTAGATGGAAGGGAACTATTTGAACCTTTCACAAGGCCTAAGAGCATATTGTAGGCATTCATTAAATACTTGTTGAACTAAGAATAGAATAGGATTGCATTTTACTGCCTCCTTTCCATGTGCCCACTTGATACATACAGCAGTACAAATGTGGTGAAGTATAAATTTAAAACTCATAAATTATATCTGGACAGTTCATCTCAAAATGTACAAAAACAAGATATCAGTGATAGAAGCAAAACTTTTCATCAATAGAAATTTCATTACATACATTGCCTTAGAATTTTTTCTAGAAAAGTCCAGTTAAGTCTCTTAAACTCCAGTCACTAATTTATTCTATGAAGAAGAAAAACACAAATAAAACTAATAATGAGTTTTAGCATCATTTCCAAAAAGGCAAAAAGAAGTATGAAATATCAAGAATAATGAGAAAAAATAATACTTTAACATTAAAAATCAGATAAATATAACAAATATTTCTATAAATACTTTATAAAAATAATGTCCTTGATTGACTAAAAAAAAAAAAGAATGTTAAAAAATAAAGAAGGAAAGTTATCAGTGAAAGATAAATAAAACTGTAAGCAGAACAGGAAATAGTACTAGTAATTTTAAAAATGAGAAAGATCAAAAACAGCTCCTCATATGATACTAAAAATTTTAAAACTGCCCAAAAGGATTTTGAAATTAATTTGAAAAAGTAGTAATTAGGCATCTTCCATCTTATTTTTCTAGGATGATCTCATATTTAGTGGGGTGAATAATCACATTAAAATAAGCTTGATATTTATTTCTTAGGAAGATACGATGATTAAGAAGCTTAAAGGACAAAATACGGTTCTGTTGTAAAATGAACTAATGCATTTACTTCTGGCAAGCTGTAAGAGCATGAAATGAGGATGATATAAAGAATTCAAAATGAAGTTTTACATTTTATTCTCCATTCATGACAGTCTTTAAGAAATATGTGTGTATATTTTCAGATGAATTATAATTAAAAAACAAAAGCACTATCAGGTTTTTTGCCTCTCTTTTTCCTAACATGACATTTGATATTTTTAGTTATCCCAAGAACAAGAAACAGAGGTTATTTTTTTCAGTTTTGATTCATCTTTTATAGTGGGAGAATCTACTTTGGCCAACCTTTAACATTTTAATCATTGCATGTTAGATACTTGAAATTTTAATCATTACTTTCTGAAATAGGTTTTAAAGTTATATACTTGAATAACTGAATCTTGGGGGCCATAAAATCATTAACCTATTAAAAATATAGAATTAACTGCTTTTACTATTTTAACATAAGACCTGATGCTACCTATTTTAGCTTTTAAACAAGTTTTAAAAAGAGTAATAAAAATAAAACCAAAACTTCCCCAACTTCCCCCCAAAATACTCCTAAAATATATAACGATGCAACTATATATCTTTAAATTTTCAAATGTAAAATTTCTCTCATGTTAAGCAAGTGATCAATAAGTACTTCCATAGTCCTAAATATCCTATGCTGTTGGAAAAGGCTACATTGGCAACTATAGTGTTCCTATCTTATTTTTACTAGGTTTTAGCAGGGCTGCCCAATCTTTTGATTCCCCTGGGCCACACTGGAAGAACTGGCCTGGGCCACACATAAAATACACCGACACTAACAATAGCTGATGAGCCAAGAAGACAAAAACAAAAACAACAAAAAGATTCAAGCAAATCTCATAATGCTTTAAGAAAGTTTACGAATTTGTGTTGGGCCACACTCAAAGCAGTCTTGGGCTGTATGTGGCCCACGGGCTGTGGGTTGGACAAGCTTGTAGGGTCCCTGAGTCTCCCTGAGGCACCAATCTCAGGTCAGTATAATCGAGTAAAGAATGTAATTATTTGCTAAGGTATTCTGGTTTGTATTTTGAATTTGGCATTACCTTAACAGTAACTTGTATATGGTTCTTTCTCTCTTGCTAGGTTATGGATTATCTATGAAAAAGAATACTCATCTTTATATCTGTGGAAAAGAGCTCAATGCCTAATATCAAAAAACTACTCAACAAGTTTGCTGATTTATTTAAAAAACACTGTTGCTTCAAATAATCAGTCTTAAAGTGAGTTCCAAATGACATAATAACTTAATGGTTGATATGAGATTCATATCCTAAGATAATATGTTGCAGTCTATGAATTTAACAGATAGTCTTTACTTTTTTAAAAACATGGTCTCATAGTTGTTATTGATTTCTCAAGAGAGTAAATATTCATTATAGTGCAGTAATTTTTAGTTACTTGGTTATATTTATCTGTCAAACTGCTTACTGATTTTATTAGATCAAATGTAGAAGATAACATCTACATTATCAAAATAATACATTTTAAAGATCGTCTCTGTTTCTACTACATATATTTTTATTTGTGTGCAATCTTGGACATATTAAGAGGTGGGGAAGCGCACTGGTACTTTTAGCAGCACCTAATTTCATGAGTTTCATACTAGGTGCCAAGAAATTAGGTTGTCCAAATATTTTGGAAACAAATTAAAACTGAATCAGCTGTTCCTTTTCTACCTGTTATACTTTACTCAAGGCACCTACAATGAAACTTTAAAATTAAGTAGAGAAGAACTTACCTAGGGATTTTGAAAAATAGTTTGCCATTTGTCCATTGTTGTAAGACTGTCGTTTATGTCTTTTTGTTGACATTTCTGTGGTCTTCCATGGTGGTCTTTTTCTTTTGTTCAAATTGCTAAGAACTTCAGAACTATCAGGATTCTTGTCAAAGTTAACACATTTGCTTAATTTACTATTGTCAAGATGACCAACAAATTCATTGGTTGAAGGACTATTTGCTTTAGCATTTTCTATTTCTTTAGATTGCTTTTTAAAAGAATTTTGCCTAGCAGAATGAGATCTTAAAGTAAAGCACTTTGATTCTTTCGTATGAGTCTGATGATTATTTCCACTGTCAGTAGATTCAGGAGAGTAAATGATTGTATTTAGCTTAAAAGTATTTCTGTGTTCAAGACAGTTGAGCTTCCTCAAAAATATTCTACAGTCTTTTAAGGTTTTTGACCTCCAATTATTAGGACATACATTTTCTAGTTTTGGTCCCTTTTGAAAGTCTTTTTGGCTGCAATCTGTTCCATTCTCTTTTGCTTCTGACTTAAATTTATTCTCGAAACTAGTATGTATTTTGAAGTCAGGCATTGTCACCCTTTGCTGCAAGTCACCCCTGATCTCAGGTGGCAAAACACACTGGTTATCTACTATGCTTTTTCCTTGGAGTGGGATGTCAGCATTTGTTTCTCCCTCAGTCTTATTTGAAAATTGGTTCTGGCAGAAAAATCTTAAGTTTCTCCTTTTAGAGTTCCAGTCAACCGTTCCATGGTTGTGCAGCTTTCCCTCTCTTTTCCATCTTTCATGATGCAACCTCTTAAACTCAGTCCTTTTTAATCTAGCTATTGCTAAATTACTTTTCACATTTAAGAGTGGAGAGTTAGCCACTTTATGCAGTATATGTAACTTCTCTGCTGATTTTGAAGGAGAAGAGAGCGCAAATTTTTTAAAGTGCTTTCTGAAGGGGCTGGCATTAAAGTCAGAATATTTGGTCCCTAATTTGATACCCCTGGTATTTATTACTTCCAAAGGGTTTCGGGCATTTGCTTTTCTAACTAGTGAAAGAGACTGTGTTTCTGTTGTTTGCATAAACCAAGTACAGAGTTCATTCAAATCATACTTTTTCTGAAACAGCATTTTTACAGGTGAAACTTCAAGTTGTAAAAGACAAGTTTCCAAAGGGCTTTCTACTTTGAAATGATCATTTTCAATGTGTTCTCTTTTTTTATGAACACAATTTTCAGCTTCATCTCCACTCACTTGTACCCAAGCATTTGTTATTTGCTCAAACCTATTGTTTAACTCCTCCAATAAGGAATCATTTGAAGCAGAAGTAGCCCACCACCTGAGCAAAGGGTTTGATGAAATTATAGGGTCCAGGGATACTTCAGAAATGGGTACTAGTTTGTTATCTTCTAAACACTTTTTTGCATTCCTCGAATGTCTGTTTTTTGAGGTATCTTTGTAAGCTATTTTCATCCTTGACTGCCTATGTTTTTCCTTCTGAATTTTATTTTTCTGCAAATGCAGTTTATATGATTTATGGAGCAGAGCACTTCTATAAATAAGTGAGCTAGAAGATGCTAATGAATGTAAGAAATGCAGAGATGGTTTTCTATCCCTAATAGAATGTCTCAAAGGTACAGTAGCAATCATACGTTTTGATCCATTACTAAATATATCAGCTTCAGTGTGTCTTATTTTGTCCATTTTAGTGCACTGTTGGTCACACTTTTCATCAGGCAGATTTTTTCCTAACATACTATCCTGTTCCAAAGGAGGCAAGCAGCTGCTAATACTTACTTCTCTTTCCTGAGGTGAAGTTCTACTAATAGTCACAGATATGCCAGAGATTTTCACTTTTGCTGGTCTACCAGGCTTCCTACTTACTGCCAAAGGTTTCTGATTTGATCGAATAATGTTCTTGGAAGGCTGAGGTATCACAGATTTGTTCTTGATGGGTCTCACATATTCAAAGCCAGACCCCAAGATCTCACTTTCAGTAGTCATGCTTGCTACAGCACTTATTCTTTCACCCAAGTCAATTTTGTGTTCACTAATATTTCTGAGACTATTATGCTCAGTTGAAAAATCACCAGCATTATTGTTTAAAGACATAATGTTGCTTACGTTTACACTTCCTTCAGAAACATGCCTTTTAGTTCTTCTTGATCTTCCATAAATAACAGTTACTGTAATACTATTTTTATAAATACCTTCTTTTACTTCTGATATGAGAGATTCTGGGCTTTTCCTTCCAGCACTAAAGGACTCATTTTGGCAACTAGTGATGTCTGTTTGATCAATTTTAGGCTTTGGTGGTCTTCCAATTGGTCGCTTAATCTGTTTCACAACTTGGGGTCCTATTTTTTTTGGTCTGCCTGGTTTTCTTTTAAAAGATGAATCAACAGCACTGCTTGAATTGTCCTTCGGTTCTTCTTGTGGCTTATCACTATTTATATCACCAATAAACATTGCAGAGGATCCTACAACTTTTGCATGATTGAATTTGTTTACTTCTCTTTGAAGATTATCAGTATCATAATGATTAGAGTGATAATTTTCAGAGTTCGCATTTGAGATAGCCTCATTTGTTTCTGTTTTTCCTTCAATTACATGATGGGTTGTATGTTTTTCAGAAGGAAGAAGAACATTTGATTGGGAAGTACCAACTGAAGTTAAAGTATATTTGACACCTTCACTACTTTTAACCTCAGATAAAAACATGAGTTTGATAGGACTAGAATAGTTGGAAAAAGATGAACTTTCAACACCTTCATATTTTGCTTGTACATTTTCAACACTGGAAATCAAGCTACCCATATCTAAAATAGATGTTTTTTTCAGATTTTCAAGTCTTTTGTTACTCAAATCGATTGTAGGCATACAGTGACTATTGATAATATTGCTAGATGCTACCACAGATTTTGATAAGCTCTGTTCTTTACATGTCACTCTATTCAGATTAAGAGTCATATTTCTGTCAGCATTTTGGTCTTTACCATCAATTTCTATCAATTTCCTGGATGCTTTATATCCTTCCGATAACGGCTGATTATTCCAAGATTTTTGGGCTATATTTATTGTATCTTCCAAACGCTCCACAACAACTTGTAAATTAGAATTCATTGCAATTTTGTTTAGGTCTATATTGTGTGAGCTTTCAATGTGAATATTTTTCACTGGGTCTTTTTTTGTTGTGGATTTGGATACCTTTTTGGCTTTAGGGGATTTTTTAAAAACATAATTATTTGTTACATATATAGAATACCACCCTGGCAGCACAATATTTCGTTTAGTTCTGCTCAAAAGTCCAGAAACATCATTTCTCAAAAGAGCATGAGTATTTCCTAATTTTGGATTTTGCCTATGGTTTTGAAAAAAAATTTTTCCATCTGCAGATTTCTCCAGTGGCTTTCTTATGCTCATTTTCTCAGTGGAAGTTGTTTTAAAGCTTTCTGAAAATGCATTAAAAGACAAGTTAGTTTCTAAACTATGAAGAGGTAGTTGCAGTGATTGTAATGCATCATTTGGTGAAAGTGATGTTTCAGCATGATTTTTATCTTGAAGGTTTTTAGAATTTTGTAAAGATGGCCCTTGGTCATGACAGAATTCTCCTTTGTCTGATGCAGATGTCTCATCACTGTGCATCAATTTCCTTGAACTTTTTTCAGTGTATTTTCTTCTTGTAAAATTTTCATCAAGACTAGCAAGTTCTCTTTTTATCTGTAAAGACTGCCTTCTAAACATGGGTGAATCAGAGGAGTTGCGCATTGCAAATAAAGTTTCTTGACGCTTTCGAAATCTTGTCTGAATAATTTTATTTTCTACCTTTTTATCATGTTGACTCAATAATTCCATAAAACTGTAATCACTAGCTTTTGCATTATGCAAGAGAGACGTTATGAAATCTCCCAATTTTAAATCATTATATGTATTACAATCACTGCTAGATAATTTCACAAGGCTTGTCATATCCGTGGTTTCTATTGATTTTAGTTTTTCATTAATGCGATCCATTAAATCTTGAAAAATTACAGCAGTTTCACCTTTTTCATGATTTATAGTAGAATTATTGCTGTCGTTTGAGAGTAAAGAATAAGAGTTACTGGATTTTTTGGTTTTAAGTATTTTATCTTCATGATCACCCTTAGTGTTGCTTATTTCTGCTGGTGTGAGAGATGGAGGCTGGTTAACGTTTGCTTCAAGTTTGTTACTTTCTAAGGATGAAATCTCCGAGATGGCATCTTTCAATTTTTCAAATCCTTCAGTTTCTACAGGCGATAATGGTGGGGGTGAGGGACTTCGAGATCTACAGGCATCTTTAAGAGTGACTGAAAGATCACATACTTCCTTTGACAAAGGAGGACTACGAAAAGCTGATTTTGCAGAGTGATTGTTTGGTAACAGTCCAGAACAGCACCTGAGAGAATTATAACTGTCTGCAATTCCTCTATTCACTACTGTCTTAATGTGTTCAACAGTTACAGTTTGGCAAGATAAACAATGTAAATCTTTAATACAGACTGGCAGAGGCTCTAAGCCAGGGCTTTGTTTTTCATTTTGTAAACACCCTCTTTCTGCCAGCCTATATTCACAACTACAGAATAGACCATATAAATCATCTTCGATTAAGGGCTTTTGAGATTCTGAAGACACAACACATGATGTATTACAACAGCAAAGAGAGGCAGCGTTCTGCTCTTGGACTAGAAATTTCAACATAGCCAAAACTTGTTGCTGGTGATGTATGCACAAAGATTCCAAAACTTTGCTTAATGCTGATTTTCTTTTTTCCATTTTAGTAGCTTCCTCTGATTTTGCATCAACAGTTGAACTAAAAATAAAAATCAAACAAAAAATGAATTGCAGCAAAAATACCACTATAAGGAGTTACAACTTTAACAGAGTTTGAAAAAAGATATTTTGGTATTGCTGGACTCCTGACTCCTAGAAAGCTGCAATAATGGCATTTTGATTATTGTTTAGCAAAATATATAATGAAGCACTGATGATAATTTATTTCCTACGACAAAGTATAAGTTAAAGCAAAGCCCTATTTTTGCAATATAACAGCTGATGACTATACATATGATTACATCTATATATTAATAATGTCTGTTTTGAATGTATTAAGAATATTTAATGGAAAGTGCTTCAGAAGGAGTTAAAATTTTTATAAAGTAGTCATTTTATAAGTTATTCTGATACATAATTATCAGTCTACATTAGTGCAAATAAGGAAAATAAAACGTAGGAGTACAATCTTTATTTAAAATAGATTTTTTTTCAAGACAGTGAAAATAATTAATGAAAGAGAACTTTCTATAATCACAAGAAAATTAAGGGATTTAGATTTCATGTAAACAGAATGTCTTTCCTAAGATTAAGCTGCAGGCGTTAGCTATTTAAAAATGGTATCTATTTTTAATTGATGTTAAATACTAAAGTAATTTCATAAAAACTAAAGGCATTACTTACCTAATTATTAAGTTTCAAAGGCTGGAAAATGGCTCACTGCAGAAACTAACATACATCTAACTAAGAACCGGGATTGCTTATCAACCAATATAGAAGTCTATGAATTTTTTTTTATTCCAATACCAGCAGCAGGAAGAATAAAATATATTTAAAGAGTTCTGTTTCAGAAAAGTATCTATTTTCATTAAACATATCACCAAACTCTGTACATGAAAATTGCCTTTCATTTATGGTTACATTTGTTGTTGTTACTAGCTTCTGATTTCTAGAAATTTTATTTAAGGTTGGAATAATGCTGATTATGAACTACTACTGAACAATGTATTTTTGTTTAAATACAGAATTATTATGCTCATCTACATTAAAAATTGTAACAGATTTACTTTAAAACAGGAAATGGAATATTTTTATTTTGCTGCCTAAAACTGGTACAGCCTGTTTCACAGATAAGTATGTAATATTTCACTTATATTTTATAAAATTATGTTATTTAAGTAGCAAAAATAAAGCAAATTTTAAACATCTTATCAAAATTTTCTGGAAAAAAAGATGACTTTACTAGATTCAATCAATGTTTCACGAAAACTAGTGACTTGACATAAAGAAGCTATCAAAGTGAGAAGAGATGTGAAATTACAATAAAACTTTTAAAGTCCACTGCTGCCTCTAGACATATGAAGATAGGACATGACCCCAGTATCCTTTCCTTTTTTAAAAAAAATTTTTTTTTATAAATGTTGTCATGATTGGGAGTATAAATGATGCAATTAACTCCCAGGATTCAATGAGATAGTTTTAAAAAATATTTGTAGAGAGCAAGGAAAGGAAGAAATGATGACTAACAAAGATTAATACATAATTATATTATTTCCCAGCAAATTAAAAATGATTAATTTTCACACACAGAAAGGAAAACCCAGAATGTTGTGAGAGATGTACTTTAGTAGTTTCTACAGTGATGTTATGGCCTAATAAAGAGAGAATTTACGTGTTTCTTGGAAAAATATGCTATACTGTATGTTAAAGATCAATAACCTTTCTTAACTCTTCCTGAAATGCTCAAAGATTTTTTTCTGTTAATAAAGTCAGGTATGCTGTATAAATAATCAAAACTAATGACTAGTTTTTATATCCCTTTTCTGACATTCTAAGCAAATCTATCTTTTAAAGTTTTCTTATTCAGTTTATTAATAATGGAATTTCAAAAATACTATGGTGGCCAGTAATTCCCATCTAATGTTGTAAGAACAGCTTAATAAAGGTATAGATATTCAGATATTAGATTATATCTTATATATCAGATATTAGATTATATCTTTACGTATCAGATATTAGATAACTAAGATCTCAAATTATAGAACTTCACAATATGCTTAATTGGCTTCAAACATTTTCCCCATATTTCTTGCATATTAGGATCTTAAAAAAAAACCTAGTAATGAGTAAATAATAGTTGAACGCACATATAAGTATCCAGTCTAGAATTTATTCTCAGGTGATCATATGAGGTTCTAAAATTGTATTTTTTTGATAGATCCTTTGCTTTTAATGTTAAAGTCTTCTAACCTTTTCCTGTTTGATTTATAAACCAAACATCCTGCCTATTTTTAGTATGTTACTATCCATTTTGCCCATCAGAAACTTGTTGGACTATTTCTTCAGAAAAAGTAAATTTCTAATACTATATTGAATAAAACTGCTTCTTAAAGTGAATCAAAGAAGTCAGTGTAGTCAGTTTTTTCTTTTTTCTTTTCTTTTTTCTTTTACTGAATGAGTAAATCAATCACACACCAACAGTGTTGTAAATTTAAGTGCAAAAGCATTGAAGTGCTTTACTACAAATTACAACCTAGAAACACGTTAACTGAACAATTAAAATTCATACAATCAGATTTAGATATATAACAACACAAAGTAGGAACAGAATTACAGTACATTTACAACACAAGACAGATACATGAATTCATTAGAAAATATTGTAATAAATAATTCATGAATTATAGTGCAATTGATTTATGCATAAATATAACTAATTGCCTAACAATCAGTTTATATTAACAAAATCTGTCAAAATCAAGGCAGCCACAGAGTTTTACTAAATTACTGCGACAATGGAAATACTGCAATTAAAAAACAAATACAAGTATTTGTACTGTAAACAACTAAAAAAATCAGTCTCACTAAAGTTAGTATACAATTTAATATAAAATTGTCATTAGCTACCAGAAATGGTTTAAACAACTTTACTGAGCAGTAGTTTTCTAAAAACAGAGGCACTGTTTTTTCTTTTCCTTCTTTTTTTTTTTTTTTTAATTGTCTTGACTTTCTGCTTTTTTTTTTCTGCTACTGTGGCTTCGGGTCTGGCTTCCAGAAGGGCTGTGGCTTCTGCTGGGGCTTAGATTTTTTTTTTTTTAAATATAAAATACTTGAGGAACATTCAAATAAGTAGAAAGCACATAGGGGTTGCTTTCACCTTCATTAAAAGTCTGCTGAAACTGGATTTTTCAGAAAATTGTCAATTAATAAATAGTAACTGGTAACTAAATTCATAAAGTACTTTGAATGTTTAACATAAAGGTCATCTTAATAGAATCACTGGGGAGAAGGGGAATTTCCCTGCCTTTCCTAGTTTGTATAATCAAAGAGTTAACTCAATAATAGAAACATTTTGTTTCTTTTAAAAGTTATGGGTTGATTATTACCTATAAACTATCAAAAAATATTTTAATTTACTATTTCTGACCAAAAATAAATAATACAAGTACTAAAATGCTGCAAATTAACTATAATATTACCTATAAAACTACTGATTACTGTGAAGTCAATAGCAAAATGATCCCTGATTTATGAATCCTGTGAAGTTTTTGGTCAGGTCATCTTTTAAATGATACAAAAATGTTCTGTAAGTTTCCCTTTACTATAAACTTCTCAATCAATTTATTAATGTAAATATAGTGTGAGGAATAAAAAAGCTCAATACAATATAAATATTATGTAATGCATTCAAGCCCCCAAAGTTTTCCAAGTAAAATTCTGTATAAAGAGGTCAATAAAATTGTTTTGAAACATGTACTTTATCTTTAACTTTGTTTTTCAATGGGGGAAGGGAGAAATATACTAAATAATCCAAGTTCTGGCCCTCACAAAATATGGCTTAATTCTTTAAAAAGAAAGATGACCCTGACATCTGCTGTCCTGTAATCTATTATGAATATTTTCTTGGGGTGAAAATAAAAGAGGATTCATATCCTAGTGTGCAGGTAACATTAATAGCTGAAGAGGGTTCAGTATAGATCTCAGAGACTAAATAACTGCTTGGTTGTACAGTTTCTCACTCTTCAGTTTCTTTAAACATGTAAGCAGTTTTAAAATTTAATAGCTGAAAATCTCTTTAGTATTACACGTATATGTGATTATTAAATACACACAAACACAAGTGTAAAAACACAAGTATTTGACAAGGTGCACTTATTTTTTAAATTCAGCTAAAATTACTCCTTTTGGACTTAGGAAAACTGGCTTAGAAAAATGATCAGAACCTGAATTTTAACAGAGAAAGGGGGCACTCAGAGAATTTTGAATACATAAAGCAAATCCCCATTCTTTATATGAAGGCATATGCTTTATAACATTTTACCACTACAGTTGCATACTCCATAAATCCAACAAGGATACTTTGACCCATATTTTAAAACTGCTATGTAAAAATGACCAGTCTCTCTTATGAGTCTAGTAAAAGTTAAAATGCACTGCCCAGCTTCTAACTACCCAATTAGTAGAGAGTTTACATTACTGAAAGTTCAAAACAGCTTCAGTGTTAAATATTTGTAAATCTATTCAAGACCCTGAACAAACTGCAAATTTGGTTATTAGCAAAATGATAATGTATCGCCCACCAAAATGAAATCTGCAATTCATTTTGATAAACTGAAAATGTTTTGAAATGTCACAGCAGCAAATATATTAAAGTTACACTGAGGTTTTTCAATAGGAGTGTGTCACAATCCTTAAAATTTAAAGTAGTCATAACATCAACTAACCAGCACATTTAAACCAAAATTATCATTCTCAAGCTTTTTCTGTGCACATTATAAACATGCTCTAAGTTGCATTCCAACTTTCTTTTCTAACCTTACACATTAGCTTATTTTTCAAATGAAAAACAAAATTAAATTATTTTAATAACTAAATTTAAATGATTTTTTGTTCTTAGTACTCCATATTATATTAAAGGGTTCTATAGCTGCTGGGGTTAACTATTTGTCAGTTTTTTGAAGTATATACCTTATAAACCCCAACTTCTTGCTAAATCAACTATTAAATGATAAATATTAAATTTCATTATGCATATCCTTTAAGGTTTTCTTTTCTATTCCTGGTGGATGCACTTGAGTGCATTTTGTATTTCATAGAATGCACTGTAATGTGCTAATACTGTATATATTAATTTTTCTTAGTATGGAGATAGTTGTCTATTTAAATTTTGATTGGTTGTCTGACATACATACAATGGCTGTAAGTATGTTGTATAGAATGTTTATAAACTATCAATATCATATTTCCGTTATAAGATGGTTCAACTGAATGGCTGGAATGGTCTTTCACCAATAAAAATGTTTCACTTGACAATTACTCATTTTCCCACAACGCTTTATGCTATTGACTACTAAAGAAAACCTGAATCTTTTTCACCTATTTATACAAGGATTAAATACAAACTATCAGAATTAAGTAAGCAACTATATAATTCTGTCCACAGTGAAAACCCTGAATAAAACTTTTTTTCAAAAGGCATGTAAGTGGTTTTTGAACTGTAAAATTTCATGTCTCCTGTCAGAGTGAGCATATGTAATTCCCACATGTGTGTATATAGACACACAAATACACACCTGTGCACATACACACACGCAAACACACACACACACACACACACACACACACATTTTCCTAACAAGTAATCTACACAGGCTTGCTGTTTTTGCAGCTGCCAGTCCCTGAATCTGTCATATTATATAACCCAGTGTCTGGTAATCGTAGTTTCTTCTTCGGAGGAGTCTTCAGTGTTCCAGATCTTTCTTTTACCTTGTATTCTAAAGTGCTGTGAGGTACCCCATAAATTCCTTGTGCTTTGGAAACACTCATTTTTCCGCTCATTACCATTGCAATAGCTTCTTCCATTATTTCATGATCATATTGCCGATAGCGGCCACGTTTTTTCCTGGGCTGCTTACTATCTTTTCGATCTAATCCATCTTCAGTATTTTCAGAGGTTCCATCAACTGTTCCATTTTTAGAATTAAGACACAAAGGAGAGAGGTCCCCATGTAGAAAGTAAGAGTCAACACTTGAGTGAGTTACAGGCCCAGAACATTCTATTTTGTTCTGTTTAGGGAGTATATTTTTCAGTTTTTGGAGAGCTGATCCTTCTAGGACTGAAGAGGTTTTGGAAACTTGATACATAACATCCAGCAGACCAGAACCATCAGGTTGTGATTTTGAAACAGAACTTACTCGAAGCTGAGGAATTTTTAACTGTACAGTAGGATTTGAAGTTTCGTATTGGAGGCTTTCATTTTTTTCTTTAAATTGAGTAACCATTTTCTGTAGAGTTAGCTGATGGAGGTAAGTGGAAGCTGTTGGGAATTTTAATTCTGAGGTTTCAAGTAGATTGAGTTTACTTTTTTCTGTGCGCTCTGCTTGAGCTCTTGCCCACAAGGCTACTTTTTGCAGCACTGCACAAGTTTCTTTACTGTCCTTATATGAATAACTATCATGGAAATCTCGAGTTTTGTTTTTAAAAGATGCAGGCTTCCCTGCTGGTAAGGCTTCTAAGTGAAGAAGTAAAGTTTTTTGAGGTATGCCATAAAGTATGCCTGCTTTATTTATGTCCAGTGCTCCAGACTGAATGTCTTTCAAAGCTTTTGAGAGCAAACCATCTGCAAACTCAGCACTTCTTTCCACATAGTCCTCTCTGTTTCTGTGTAGTCTCCTGGATGGATGGAATGAAACGATGGTAAACTGATGCATGAGAGACTCTCACACAGCTATGGAAGGGGAGGGTCCACTCCTTTATTATACTCCTTGCTTAGGTAACATCACTGCTTATGACACTTTTAAGTCTGTGAGATGTAGTAGTTACTCCTTATCAAAGCAAACGCTACAGTCCTGGTAGGACAATGTGTCAATGATACGGTGGCCTCAACAGGCAGACCTTCCAAGAACATAAAATCCTAACTCAGTATTTGTAAAAATATTCTCATGATGTTGCTATTCCTCTGACAGATGCTTGCAGAGCAACACTTATAAATTTTACTTGTACAATTAGAGTTCCATTATAAAAAGTACCCAAACCCTAAAGGAGTTTTTGTTAGTACAAACGTGACGTTACCGCTAAACAAGTAATAAAAGAGTCAACCCCTTAAAAGGAAATTTGTAGCAGCAGGAATATTTCCAAACACAAACATCCCATATTTCCACAAAACTAATTTTTCTCTAGACAACAGCTTAAAACTTGAAACAAGTAGATAAGTTATATTTGAATAAAACAATTTAATTTTAGATATTCTAAATGTCACTTCTATTTCGAAGGTATCACTGTAATGTTCAAAGTTTCTCAGACAGAAAGCTTACTATGCCTTATGTCTCAAATACTACTATAGCCATAATTGAAACAAATTAGTCTACCTATAAGATTTAAATGTGACAAAAAAGCTTCCTATGCAGTTAGTTAATGGGAAGATGCAAAAAAATTGTAAAAAAAATCCAAAAATCCAACAGAACAGCATTTCACTACTAATTATTTATTTAATGATTAATGATAGTTTTCAAAACATGAAAGAACTTTTTGTGGTGATTACTAGATATATTTAAGTAGTCTGCCACCACATCTAAAGTGCAATAAAAAACTAAACACGATAAACTAGCGTTAATAATTAGTAAGTACAGTACTTTTAGAATTTTTTCATTGTTTTAAAAAATAAATTACAGATTTCCCTTAAAATTGCCTCCTGAGTATTTAATTTAATATCCTCTTACTTGTCCTGCTTCTTAGTTTGTATTCTATGATTAAGTTGGTAGTTCATTTTAGTAACATGAACTAAAGTTTGGTGATTGTTCTGATAACTTTTCTTTAACAGAAAGAATAAAAAAAGAAAGAGAAAGGACAAGATGAAAGGTATGAGAGAGAGAGACTTATGAGTGACAAAAATTCTGGAGGAAAACTATATACGTCAATACTACTCAGAATAGTATTAAGAGTTCTCTGCAGAGATAATTTTATATTAATATTAAATTATATTTCCTAGATATTGCTTACCCAGCCACTGAATTTTCAGAAGAAGGATCACATATGGATGACTCTTCAGATTTTATGCTGGTTTTCTTTGTAGAGAGATCTAACACTCCATCCCCTATAATTTTTGCAAGAGAAAAAACTTTATATTTGCAAGAGATAGGCAATCCTTACATTTTAATATTTCATATTTTGTTGATCTACTAATTCATAACACTAGTATTTGATGTGTGGCCACCACCTACTCATCTTAAATGGCTTTAGGAACACAGTATGACTGGGAAGGCACTATATAGGAAAAAAAGAAGAGGAGCTGGCATTGCCAGGTGATAGGAAGAAACTAAATATATGATGTAAAATCTGTCTAATATAAACTTAGTCACCTCTCCACCATTTTGTAGTGAATAGCCATTGATTGCTCATTTATAACAGTTTTCCATTCAAAGCTGCCCAGATAATGCTTTGGGAAGGTGGGAGTGATGTGAGTTGTACAAAACGGAGAGAATAGAAAATGTGATAATGAGTAAGATAATTAAATAATTAGCATTTACTAGGACTAGCAAAAGGTAAACTGTGACTTTCTGCATAACCATGTATTTTCTAAAACTCAGTGTAAAATTTTACTATTTTAAATTATTTAACTGTACAATAGTTAAATCATTGCCTACATAATATATTGTGTTTATGACTAAATATACAACTTATAATAATGCAACTTTAGAAAAATGTTATAAAAGAACTGCCTAAGCATTTGTTATTAAAATGTAGTTACAACATTTACATAAATAAAACCTCAATGATTCAGACATATTGTTAATCTGGCATGCTTCAGGATCAAAAAGGATAAAAATAAAAACCCAGTGAAGAATTCCGTGAATGTTTTTATTGTTAGCTAAAAAACTCAAAGCTTTAGCTATAAGAAAAATTATTTAAAAATATACTAATTCAACTGGCTTAAAATTCAACAGGGTTTTACAAATGTAACCACAATCAATCCACGAAATATGTATGTTCCTGGGCAGAAACAAAGACGAAAAATAAAATATCCTAGCTATTGCCTCCTATATGGACTTCAACCATAATTTACTGAGTGCTCACTATGTGCAAAGCACTATTTTACGCATTGGAAGAGCAACCAAAAAAAAAAAAAAGTCACACAAAGTACTTATTGTCATAATTCTTAGGATCTAATCAGATAATTCATACACCATCACAACCACCAGCAATTACCATAGTGCCACCCGAGAAAGTAACACAGAATAAGCTGATAGAGTAATGAGGGTAGGGCTGAGGACGCTGCTGTTTTATACAGTGTTATCAGTGCAGGCTTCTTGATTTGAACAGGTCCCTGAATAAGGTTAGGGTCACCAATCAAGCAGGTACATGGGACAAAGTTTCTGGAAGAACAGTCTGTATAGAGGCTGTGATCCAGAATCATGTCTGGAATGTCAGAGGAATAGCAAAGGCCAGGGTAGCTGAAATGAAGTAAGCCAGGCCAAGAGCGAGAGATCAGAAATGTTGTAGGAAGATTGGGCTGTTGGGCTGTTGGGCTGTGGTGAGAAATTCGCATTCATTTTGACAGAGACAGGAAGCCACTGGAGGATTCTGGGCGGAAGACTGACATGATTTCAATTTAGTTTTTTAAAGGAGCTAAAGGTGGAGCAGGGAAACCTGCTGGGAAAGTGCTATGCTATTTCTTGTCACTTGCTTTCACACTTGGAGTTGCTTTCCACTGCCTAGATGATTCCTACTCCTCTCCTGCCCCTCCACAATCCTAATTCTCACCAAATCTTACTCATCAGTCGGTCACTCAGGACACAGCTTAGAGTTGGTTGACCATCATTATAGGCTACTATACTAGTAACATGACCTATAGTATTTAGCAGGTTGTAGTGCCAGTTGCTCATACATTTACCAGTGCTAGCCACAGACTGTAATCTATGTGAAGGCAGAGACCATGCATATTTTATTCATCAATAATCCCTGCTGCTTAGAATAGTGCCTGGCATACAGTAAGTATTCCATAAACGTTTGCTAAATAGAATTTCAAAGAACTGGAAAAACTCAGTGTGGCTAGAGGTTACAGTTCATAGATTAGAAGAGTAAAAAGGGGAGACTGAGAAGCAAAGTACCTGGCACATAGTATCTTGAAAAATTATCAAAGACAGCTTCTTGCCCCAGTTTATCCATCCAGTTTAATTTTAAGCTTAGTCTCTAACTCATCTCAAATGTCACACATCTCACATATCTAAGTACTTAAATTCCCTCAAATGTGCTATGCAGCGTTATGCCTCTCAAATTGCAGTATTGTTCCCTCTGCCTAGAATACTCGACCTATTCGACTTGTCAAACTTATACGCATCCTTAAAGCCCCAGATCCCCTGCCCAAGCAGAAGATGCTTATTTTGTCTCCCTTCGTGGACGGCATCCTATAACACTTATGACATTATCAAGCAATTACTGATTTACAAATCTTTTCTTCCATGAAACTGAATTCCAAGCTCCAGGATCTTGACTTATTCATTTGTATTATTAAACATTGGTAGAGTGCTAATACCTACTAAAAGGAGAAAGAAATGTTTCTCTTTTTTGTGTAATTTCTCTTTTTTGACAATTAAAATTTTATTATTTTAAGAACTTGTAAGAAAGGATAACTGCTAAACCCATATTTATCACTTTATTCACTAATTTTGATTTTGTTTATTTTATGTAAGTTTATGGCATATAAAACACACTTCCCTAAGTCTGTTATCCTTAGCCTCAAAATGAAGTAATGAAATTTTTCCAATTCTAAGCTCTCCTAGACTTGATATGCGCAATTTAAAATTATTTCATAAAACAGAAATTATGAAAGGAAGTACAGGAAACCCCTTTCTCTCATTTACAGATACTACAAAAACTGGGCTGCAGCTCTCTACCTAGGGCAATAAAGGTTCTTTTCTTTTTTTTGGACTACTCACACACAAAGCACCTAGTACAGCTCATTTTATTCTGGATGAGCTACATATAAGCTCTACTCCATCTTTCAGAAACCTATGCAAATAAGCTTATACTTCTGATTCTTTCTCTTTAGGAAGTCTAAACAATGACCCTGGTGAGAAATGCTTTTATCTCTTCTTCACAGCCCTTTCTCCACATCTAGGCTCCCTATATTAAAAGTTTTATTCTAAAAAGATTTGACAAATAAAGTAATACATTATAGTCTGTTAGTCTGTATCTAGTCAAAATGGAAAATGTACTCCATCATATTTCCGTCACATTGCATTAATCAATTAGTGTTTACATAGTAAACACAAGATATATAAATATGTAATAGTTCTAATACCATTAAGAATTTTAAGATAAATATTTGCTATCTACAGAAAATCTCACTTTCTGTTAGTAGTATTAACCATCTATATCATGATTCCCTTTTTTATCATAAAGCCTGTAATTCAAGGGCTGGAAAAGTCAAAAGGAGTTACTCCTAGGATTCTCTGTATTAGAAAAACAAAAACATCGATATCCAGGACTTGAACTCAGATCTGGAACAAGTAGACTTAATTAACATTCATAGAACTCTCCACTTTAAATACACAAAATATACACTCTTTATCAGTACTACATCACACGTATTTACAGGTTTAAATGAAATATTGGTTGGCTGCTTGTTAATTATTTTCTTCCCTCATTTATTTATTTTTTTATGTCTCTATTATTAAATACAATTACAGGCATACCCAGTTTTAGACTGCATTCTAGCCCGGNGTTCCACCAGAGATCTTGGCAGGATTCCACAGCCCCAAGGTCTGCAGGTTCTGACAAAGGATAGGCTGGGGCCTGCCAGGAAAACTCACAGAACCACATCAAGGTGTTTGTGCTGCCGCTTCAAGAGAATTTATCCTCAAGACAAATAGGAGTTTGCCTATTTGGGGGCTTTGGAAAATTTTTTAAAGGATTTTAGAAGCCTGTTCTGTTACTTAGTAGTTGTGTTACTGGACAAGCTAGTTAACCTCATTGAGCCTGGGAAGTAATCCCAGGAAATCAGGGAAAGGCAAAACTGTGTGTTATTAAGCTCTGGGAAACTGGGACTTGATCCCACTGGGACTCTCTAAGAAGTCCTGCAGAATGCATTTCAGAATTAGGGTAATGAGCAGCAACATAGGATTTCCATTGGTAACCCAGAGAAAACTCAGGTGCCTAGAAAGCCAGGATGAGTTCGTCACTCTTTCAGAATCATCTGCCTAAGAGTCAGAAGAAGGGAATATTTATCCACTAGTTCATGTCCTGCAGTGGTTAAGGCACCCCATGAGCTGCCAACTCCCTTGCACTTGCATATTTGCATGTGTGCAAGCATGGTGCACATGCTTGAGACAGGATCTCACTCTATTGCCCAGGCAGGCGTGCTCTGGCTTAATCACAGCTCACTGCAGCCTCTGCCACCCATGGTCAAGTCATCCTTCCTCCTCAGTCTCCCACATAGGCACACACCACCATGCCTGGCTAACTTTAAAAAATTTTGTAGAAATGGAGTCTCACTATGTTGCCAAGGCTGGCCTCAAACTCCTGAACGCAAATGATCCTCCCATGTTGGCCTTCCAAAGTGCTGAGATTGCAGCCATGAGTCACCGCACCCAGCCAACCTTGCTGAGCTTTCCTTATATGTGGAATGGATGAGAGATACTTCAGAGGGTTTATGGGTTTGTCATGCAGCTCAGAGAGCTTAAGCCTCAAGACACCTCACTTGTACAGGCTCCTCACAGGAGGGCTTTAGGCATGCTGCGTTTGTAATTTTCTAGTCTAAAGATTCCTGCCCTCTTCCCAAAATATGTCATCTTCAGAGCTGCACAAATCTTGGATCAGCTCCTGCTTGTGAGGATGAATCACGTGTAAAGCACTTACTCCTGAGTCTGGCCCATTGTAAGAGCTTCAGAAATAGTCCTTGCTGTCGTCAGTGGAGGTACTTTCCCTCCATTATCACACATCCACGTATTCTTTCTCCCACTGTCTAATGTCAATGCCCACCCACGTCTGCTCATAGTTTGCTTCTTTTCCTATAATGTCAGTTTCTTGCCAGTTGCTCCCCATTTGCCACTTTGCCAGTCTTATTCTGTAAGGTGCATCTGCACTTCCTCACTG